TCCCTAAATACATCACCTCTTGGAATTCTTTCCAAACCAAAGCCTAACTTTAATTCCACTACTTTCGCCACCCTTCATGCTTTTCTCCACATTAATCTTAACCCTAACACGACCTCCACCCTCTCAGCTTTGCCTTAAGCAACTCTTAACCAAGCTTCATTAGTCCCATAAGTCACAAATTATGTCCCCCACACCTCATATTATCAAAACCCACCACTAGGGGTGTAAACGAGCTGAACATGAGCGACCCCAAAGCGTGTTCGTGTTTGGCTCGTTCGGAATTTTATGTGTTCGAAATGAGCTCATTTTAGAATTGCTCGTGAAAGCCTTGTTCGCATTTGGCTTGATTTAAATTCAAATTTGTTTGTATTAGTCGTGTTTTGCTCGAATATGAGCTAAACATGCTTCCATAATTTTTTCTTTTAAAATTTTAACTCAAAATGAAGTTTTTGTTTTAGTTTATTTCTAAAATAAAAATAAAAATGAATTTTTTCATTTCCTATTCACGCACATAAATTTTTTTTTTTATTATTTTGATATAATTCCAATATAAGAAGAAATAAATTCTTCCCATTTCCCATTCAAGGACAGGAGAAAACTAAAATTTTCGTTTCATTTTTACATTTATATAGAATTTCTAATTTGAATTACTTCCCATATAAGAGATGTGGAACTAAAAAAAAGAAGGGGGTGGAATTGGCAAGGAGACGAGAATTGTGGGGGCATTTACATACATACCACCCAATTCTTGTGCATTTACATTTATATCACATCAAAAAAGGGGACTTTTATGGGAAAATCTCATCATCTTTAAATATATACCACCCCACTCTTATTTATTTACATATTCAGAGAAATTAGTGTTTATAAAAATGAGCAGTATGGTGATATCACATTCTCAGTTTAACTGTACGTTAGATGCTCTATTTTAAAAACATTTACATACCACGCAAACCCTATTTATTTGCATATCTAACACCTTAGCATTATAACTATAGAAACCAAATAATTTTTAAAAATAATAAAATTTAGCATTTTTAGTACATTTAAAAATTAATATAAAATGATAAAAATAAATATTATGATTTAATTATTTAATTATTTCGAGCCAAAATGAGCCAAACACGAATGAACGAACTTTTGTTCATGTTTAGCTCATTTATAAATTGATTTAAAAAAAAAAATTGTTCGTGTTCGGCTCGTTTGCTTATTGAACGAATCGAGCACGAGCTATTTAATGAGCTGAACATGAGTTGTTCACGAATGACAAGCTTTTTTGACAGCCCTAGCCACCACAAAGCAATAGTGTCCGTATTTTTCTCAAGGTCCTACTATCAATGCATCAAATTTTCCCTTAGAGCTAAGGCTCCAGTGGTTTCACCAAATATCAAAGAAGTTTTGAAGGCATATCAAAGGGCATGCAATTACTGCAAAAGTGCAAGCATCTTTAACAAGTAGTGGCTTAATTTCCACATGTGAACATCTAATTCCCGTTGTGCTTTCACTTAAACTTGGTATATTTATTTTTTGCGTAAAAATTTAGGTTATTGATAAGTTGGCAACTTTATGAATAGTTTCAAGACCTTTAAGTAGTGGGTATCATATAAAACAAAGCCAATCCTATAGCATAAAACCTACACTAGTCATTCATATTTAATGATGACATGTTTGTGAGGATGTGGCCCACAAATTTTACTTTGAAGACTCTTGATTATGTGTTCAAATGTAAAAACAAAAAATTATATTTGCTTGTTTTTTATCGTTTGGTTTAACAATCTATATTTGTTTATTTAATTTTTAGAAAATCGCTTGTTCAATAATTGCTTGAAGTCTTTTTTTTTTTTTTTAACATGCTTTTTTAACATGCTTGAAAAAACATCTTTTCAAAGAAACAACATTTTTTCTTTATGGCATAAACATTATTTTTTCCAGAAAATATAGCATAAACATTATTTTTTTCCAGAAAATATAAAAACCTAACTCATTTGTGCACTTCACATTGTTCATCCAAGGATGTTTCCTATGCCTATAATGAAAAATATTTTTTTTTAAGGACTACAAACATATAGAACTTGGTTCAAGTTGTAATGTTGGGTACAATGTGTACGAAGGAGGTGTATTTGAAGCCATTGCTTATAATGAATAAGATGATTTGGGCATGAAGATAATTTTGGAGAATAATTTGACAAGGAGTTAGGAAATTTTCAAAGAAAATTTAACATGCTTGAATAGACATCTTTCAAAGAAACAACTTTTTGTCTTTATAGCATAAACATTATTTTTTTTCAGAAAATATAAAAACCATTTGATTCATTTGTGCACTTCACATTGTTCATCCAAGGATGGTTCCTTTGCCTATAATGAGAAATATTTTTTATTTGAGGACTATAAACATAAAGAACTTGGTTCAAGTTGTAATGTTGGGTACAATGTGTACGAAGGAGGTGTATTTGAAGCCATTGCTTATAATGAATAAGATGATTTGGGCATGAAGATAATTTTGGAGAATAGTTTGACAAGGAGTTCAGAAATTTAGTATTTGAGTGGGCATACAATTGATGAGAAATGTTGTAGTTAGCACTTCTCCCTATAAATGTTTTGAAAATGGTGAGGTAGAAATGTTTGATTTTTTTTTTTTTTGGGTAATGCCAACAATGTGCATTAGTAAATAATCCATTGATCCAACAGGTAGGACCTAAGGATTGAGCGATAGTAAATAATCCATTAGTTCAGAGTATATGAATTTTAACTTGAAATTGAGTTTACAATGTCTTATTAAAATATTAAATATGGTATTTTTTTTAAATGAGGATATTCAACATAGACGGGTGAGATACTTGAATAAAGTTTTCAATAAAAAATTTGATAATATGACTAATTTTACTTATCTTAATTTCATTAATAATAATAAAACCTTTTGTTTTTGTCATCACATTTGTGAAACAGATGTTAAGGAGGCTTTAAAAAAATGAAATGTGAAAAATCAATAAGAACTAATGGTATTCCAATATAAGTGTGAAAATGTTTAGGAGATATTGAAAATTTATTGGCTTAATAAACATTTTGATATTATTTTAAAAAGTAAAAGGATTCCCAATGAGTAGTGGAAGAGTATTTTGGTCTTTATTTTTAAGCATAAAAAGGATGCACAAGTGTGTGCAAATTATAGATGAATTAAGTTTGTGTCATACATTACATAGAGGAATTAAGTTTGTGTCATACATTAAAATTATGGGAGAGAGTAAGTGAACATAGGTTAAGATGTGATACAAAGATTTCTCAAAATTAGTTTGAATTTATGACGGACAAGTCTACTATGGAAGCTATGCATTTATTGCGAAGTTTGATGAAGAAGTATAGAGAGAGTAATGAGGATCTATGTATGATATCATTGATTTAGAAAAAGCTTACAATAATATTTCAAGAGAAGTACTTTTGAGAGTTCTAGAAAAAAAGGTGTTGATATGGCTTATATTTAAGTTCATTAAAGAAATGTTTACTTGAGCTGTTACTTGTGTTTGAACAAAAGGATTGACCAAGTATTTTTCAATTTCAGTTGGATTACATCAGGGTTTGATTTTAAGCCCATATCTGTTTGGTTAATTATGGTTGTTCTTACTTAGCATTTATAGGAGGATGACCTTGGTGTATGTTTTTCACTGATAATATCCTTCTTGTGGATAAGAATAGAGAAAGAATTCAAGAAAACTTTGAAATATATAGGTTAACTTTAAAGTCTAAAGGCTTTCGTTTGAGTAGATTTAAAATTGAATACATAGAATGTAATCTTAGTAGTAGTAGATCTAGTGGCGGTGCTCTAACAATGGGTGATCAAGTCGTTAAAAGGAGTGAATGTTCAAGATATCTCGGGTTTATCATTCAAAGTGACGGTGATATTAGTAGAATTCAATTTGGATGGTTGAAGTGGAAGAATGCATTGAGCCTATTGTGTTATAGGAAAGTACCGCTTAAACTTGAAGGAAAATTTTATATGCCAGTGGTGAGACCTGCGATGTTTCATGGCATAGAATGTTGGCTTATGAAAGAGAAGCATTAAACTAATTTATGTGTTGTGGAGATGAGAATGCTTAGGTGGACGAGTGGCTTTACACTTAGAGACAAAATGTGAAATGATTATATCCGGGAAAGGATTGGTGTAGCTCCAGTAGACGAGATTAGAGAGAGTCATTTGGTCACATTAATCGACGATCATCTGATGTCCTAGTTAGGAGAGTAGATGTATTATATTTGACTTATGTTAAGAAAGGTAGAGGTAGACCTAAAAAGATTTGGGCATGTTATATAAAAGATGATCTTAATTTATTAGAATTAAATGAAAATATGACACTCAATAGGACGCTATGGATGAAAATGATTTATGTAGCCCACCCCACTTAG